ACCAGTTTCTATCTTGTTACATGTCCACCTGTGCAAAATACATGTCATTTATTTGTCCCTGCCATCGGGCAACAATGCTGAATTTATTAACTCATTTATGAGCATGGTTTGATAGACAATTAGGATAGGATTGATTAGATATGATAGATATATAGAATGATAGGATATATATATATTAGATATGATATAGAATGATAGGATTCTCTCATTGTCCTCATTACTGATTATTTTAACTGTGCCTCAAACACTTGGGTAGTTAGTACACTCTAGTGTTACAAGCTGGTTGCCATGTTGCTTCATAATCATTCTCGTGTGTGTGTGTGTGTGTGTGTGTGTGTGTGTATGTATGTCATAACAGGCACACCTGTTTCAGTGTGCATCACTTTATTGCACTTCGCGGGTATCATGTTTCTCAGAAAGTGGAGATTTGTGGCAACCCTGCATGGAGCAAGTCTATCAGTGCTATTTTTCCAACAGTACGTGCTCACTTCATGTTCTGCGTCACATCTTGGTAATTCTTGGAATGTTTCAAATGTTTTCTTTATTAGTTATGGTGATCTGTGATTAGTGATCTTTGATATTACTGTCGAAATTATCTGGGGGTGCACCAAGAACCACCCCTATGTAAAGCAACAAACTAAGTCAGTAAATGTTAGATGTGTTCTGACCACTCCACTGACCAGTAGGCTCCCTATCTCGCTCCATCTACTCAGACCTCCCTATCCTTGAGACACAGCAATACTGAAATTAGGGGCCCGGCCTGCTGGGGATTCATGCCTGTAGTCCCAGCTACCTGGGAGACTAAAGCAGGAGGATTGCTTGAGCCCAGGAATTCAAGGTTGCAGTGACCCGTGATCACACCACTGCACTCCAGCATGGGCAGTAAAGCAAGACCCCGACTCAAAAAAATTAGGGCAATTAATAACGCTAAAATGGCCAATAATTGTTTTGTAAAAGAATGAGTTGCACATTTCTTACTTTAAATCAAAAGCTAGGAATGATTAAACATAGTGAGGAAGGCATGTTGAAATAGCCAAATTGTGAATGCAAACGAAAAGTTCTTTAAGGAAATTTGAAGTGCTCCTCCAGCGAACACACAAATGATTAAAAAAAATGAAACAGCCGGGCGCGGTGGCTCAAGCCTGTAATCCCAGCACTTTGGGAGGC